TAAAAATCATTTCCTTTTAGTAATATATGAGAAAGACTATTCTAGTCACTAGTCTCTTAATAAATTAATTACAAAAGTTAAACCGAAATCTACAGGATGTAAACATAAGGGATTTTGGGGAATCTCTTTAAAGTGAAAGCGAGTTGAAAAAATCGAGTCTTAAAACATATGCCCATTTATAGGAATTTGTTGACTTCTAAAGTGGCTACGCATTCACAAGCATGGTTTTGTGGTCTCAATGATGGATTATATCATTAGTATTAGTACTCATCTTGTATTAGTTGGAAAAATACATATAATCAGCAATATTTGCCTATTTCTAACACAGTTTAGTCTAAAACTCCCCCATTAACTCTTTTTTTTTTTACAAGCTTAATGTAATATATCATCAAAGATATTGTATTATGGAACTTCAGACAACGTCCTAAGATGTATGAATCAAATCTGTGATAAAGTAAATATCTAATTTTAGGGTCAGATGAAGGGAAGATATGGTATAATTATAATACTATGATTTACGAATAAATTGAACAAAATGGGTTTAACTTTTGAGCCACAATTACTGGAGATGGTGGTGTCAGTATCTTTGAAATTATGAGGAAATTTGTCTCCATAAAGTTAAAACCCACAAATTATGACCTACTTTCAAACACCGTGTACATTTCTCCATAAACTTGGGGTCTTAATCAAATAAATAACAAAAACCAATTATACAATAACATATTTCATTTGATTTTCTTTTTGTCATAATGTTTCGGATTCGGTTAGCAACCTATAATCTCATGGTTGGAGATATTAAAAATGATTTTTTTCTTTTTTGTCGACATTAAAAATGAAATTGTGGTTATTTATTTCTCATATATGAATCAAACATATATGTGTGTGTCTTATTAGAATTATGATCACGGTAGTAATTTTGTTTTTACTACGAATTCTAATGTTAGCATTTCTTTCAGCGTAAACGATCTAACTTTTATAAAAGAAATCATAATGAACTGTTAAAGGATAACTCCATATGTCAAAAAGAAGTATAGAAGGATAAACTTCAATTCCAAAAAGGCTATTATAAATTAAACAAATCTAATAGTAGCAGCCATAATGATTCCAAAATAGTAAAATAATTTAGTAACACTAATCAAGAGTCAAAAGAAGATGACGTAACTATTACATCAACTTTACGTATAAAACCATTCCCTCTCCCTATATAAACCCCAACACAGACATACAAATCCCTCAACAAAAACATAAAACACTCATAAGCACAAAACAAAATGGCGTTTGCAGTTATACCAACAAACGCAAACGCGTTTCTTGTAACGCTACTTGTACTATCTCTCTCTTCTTCAATTCCATTGTCTTCTGCCTCAATCCAACAAGACTTCGTGATGTGTCTCGTAGACAACTCCGACGCTTCTTTCCCTATGCAGACTTCGTTCTTCACTCACGACCTAAACGCTTCTTCATTTAAACTCGCGTTAGAGACGTCTGCTCAGAATCTCCGTTACTTGTTGCCGTCAAATCCCAAGCCGGAGTTTATATTCGAGCCGCTTTACGAAACGCACGTTCAAGCCGCAGTTGTTTGCGCCAAGAAGCTGAGTCTTCATTTGCGTTTGAGAAGTGGCGGTCACGACTACGAAGGACTCTCTTACGTCTCGGAGTTGGAATCGGCGTTTGTGATCGTCGATTTGTCGAAGCTTAGAAACATTGACGTCGATGTGGAAAGTAACAGCGCGTGGGTTCACGCAGGTGCTTCTATTGGAGAGGTTTATTACAGGTAAAAATAACTCCAGTTGCGCTATGAATCATATGTTATAATTTATTTTTTAATAATATTTGGTCTTTATAACGATTTATATATTATTATAAGCAACAAGAGATTATAGACATATAGTAAATGACTGTTCTATAGTCTATATATTTACAAAAATGATTTTACATATTCTTTTTAAAATATCATTTGCTTTATTTGATAACAAATTAATTATTTTATATAATATCTTATTTTTAACACGTAGGATATGGCAAAGTTTACCATTTATGTTCGAAATGTCATTGGACTATTTTTGCAAATATCATCGAAATTAGTTTACTTCATCCTAAAAGTGAAAAG